TGCTCGAATTTATAATTGTGCTTAACAATTACAGGAGTGGGTGCAGTCTGCCCCTGATGTAAACCTGTTTCTACCAACACCTAATATCTTCATTCCTACGGATTTTTCATTGAAGCAGTTTACGGATAAGGTTCAGTTTCTACCAACACTCTAGTTACAATTTACAAATGTCTTTTGAATAGTGTATGAATATATCACAGAATCAAGTTCTGGAACAGGATATATTTCCTGTTTTGCTGAGAAAGACATCCTTCTCAAGATTGTGGTACAAGCCTGATACAAAGTTCTTCAAACCAAAGGCATATGTTAAGATGGATTTTAACTGCCCCCTTGCGGTCAGCTCTCCTGACGCTGTAGTTCTTTCAAATCTTTTTGTTTGGTTGCTGGTAGACTATTTGAATGAATATGGTAAGATTTGATAGATATACCTCTTTACGTCATTTCTCTTTTGTAGAACAAATTAGGTGATAAGCCTTCGTAATTTGTTATTATATCAATCTGTACTTGTATGTTTCAGCTTATTATGCTCAAGCTGCTGGTCTTGACTATGGATTAAGTCTTTCGGACAATGGTTGAGGTGGGTTTGTACAAGGATGCTGACGTTTCCTTGTGTGTTTTTCTCAATGAATTTCATGTTTGACTAATAGTTCCTCATATCCAGCTCTCTCTTGTTGGCTTTAATCACAAATTGAGGATCTTGCTGGAAGCTGTCATTCAAAAGATAGCAAACTTCGAATTTAAACCTGACAGGTTTTCTGTTGTCAAGGTATACTTGTTAGTAGACTTCGTCCTTCTTTCTAAATTAAGCCTTGATACCAGATTTTTCTGTTTCCTTATCCTTTGATAGGAAACGGTCATAAAGGCATACCAAAATTACAAATTCCGACAACCACATAATCAAGCAATGAGTTACTGCTCAATGGTATTACAAGATCACACTTGGCCTTGGACAGAGGAACTAGATGCTCTTTCTCATTTGGAAGCTGAAGACTTGACGAATTTCGTTTCAATGTTGTTATCGAGGACATTTGTTGAATGCTATATAGCAGGTATCAACATTATCCCCATTGTATGATAGTCTTTGGTCTCTACTCCTGTTTTATTTGTTCTAGTCGTTGTGGTATCAATTATATAATTATACACTCATTTCAGGAAATGTTGAGAATGACGAAGCTGAGTCAATGGTCAAGCATATTGAAGATGTTCTCTTTGACGATCCAAAACCTATCTGTCGTCCGTTATATCCATCCCAGTTCCTGACAAGCCGAGTTGCAGAGCTCGGAACAGGAATGAAATACTTCTACCATCAAGAGGGCTCAAACCCCAGCGATGAAAATTCTGCTCTAGTGCATTATATTCAGGTATACTTGTGACAAGATTAGTAGGATAGCCTTCGAACTAAGTGGTATCATCAACCAGTTTGTTGCATCATCGTATAAAGCTTTTCTTGTAGATCTTGTTACTTAGACTCTTTGTGAGTTATTGACCTTCGTATTTTTGGTAATGGAAATTGGTTTACCACGAATAGGTTCATCAAGATGAATTTTCCATGAATAGTAAACTTCAGCTTTTCGAACTAATTGCAAAGCAAGCCACGTTTCACCAGCTTAGAACGATTGAGCAACTTGGTTACATCGCTTCACTTTCTCAAAGGTACATAAGAATTTCTCATCCTTTGGAATGCTCCTGATCAGTTCTTGTTGACACATAAATAATCATTTTTCTGCGACACAGAAACGACTCTGGTGTCTATGGTGTACAGTTCATTATCCAGTCTTCAGTCAAGGTACCAAACTACCAATCTGTCTTGCCTCTTTTCCATCGGACTTTGCATAACCCTTTCTAGTTTACGTAGATCTCCTTAATCCCGTTGATTTTTTTCATTAATAGGGTCCTGGACATGTAGATTCGAGGGTCGAGTCACTACTCAAGGATCTTGAGAGTAAACTTTACAAGATGAGCGATGAGGAATTTAAGGTGAGGAGGCCCAACCAGATATTATATATCATATCTGCTTTGCTGGAACTAAACATTGACTTGCTCCTCAGAGCAATGTAACAGCTTTGATAGACATGAAGCTTGAAAAGCACAAGAACTTAAGCGAAGAATCCTTGTTTTACTGGGGAGAGATTCAAGAAGGGAACACATCTCATTGTGGTTTATTTTGCGGTTAGGTGGCTACTCTGAGAGAGCTAAAGAAGGAAGATTTGATAGATTTTTTCGACGAATACATAAAAGGTTGGCGCACCAAAAAAGAGATCGCTGAGCGTATGCGTTTACGGAAACCAGCATTTGAAGGAAATGTCATCTGACAAGGACAAAGTTGTATCACCATCCATAGAGATCGAAGACATTGTTAGTTTCAGAAAATCTCAACCTCTTTATGCATCGTTGAGAGGATGTAACCAGCTGAAACTGTGAGGGGATCCCAATTCTTTTCAAGGATATATACACAAACAAAACATTCATTTACCTTTATACTTGAATCTGTATTAGAAAACAGAGCTTTTATCGTTTAAGCTCTGTTGATTGGTAGCTTTTGTCGAACAAAGACAATAATAACAAAGACTTTGTACCTACTTCAGCTGTTGAATTGTGGAATTGTCTAACCTACCAAATCTTTTTGGCTCAGTTGTTGAATTGTGAAATCTTTTATAATTTTTTTTAATTCGATCTTTCATAGCAAATCCAGTTCTTCCGTATTTGTTAAACCATTGGGAGAGCGAAGTTGCTGTTAGCTCCAGAATCTTCGGGTGTGGTTCAACGAATGATAGGTTTGATCCAATTGTTGACATGTTCTTAAGAATCCCACAATTATAATAGTAATAGATTGCAGATAATTTAAAAGATTTTGCTCATAATCAACTTGCAGCTGTAGGCAAGGAATTTAATATCCCCCAAAGGGTAAAAGACTAAAAAAGTCTTCGACAATAAATTTAGGGTTTAAACCAAAGATGCGGCAACCTAAATCCGAACGAAGTCAAACAAAAATAATTAAGAACAGAATTGAACAAAAAAAAAAAAATCAAATTTAATTTCTCATCAACATCCATTTATCCCCAGAAAATTTTGGAATCCAGAGATGATTAAATAGTATCACAAATCCTCTCAAGAACATACAGTTTTCTCAATAATAATTTAAAAAGCACAACCAAACGCTCATGAAATCTCTCTCCCACACCAACCAATATTTCGTCAAATAATTAAATCAAACAACAGAGAATAACAAGAGATCTCTAGCGTCATCATATCCTTGAGAAGATTTGATACCGCAACCACCAGTAGTTCCGGTTCCTAAACCACCAACCAAACCGGTCGAATCTTGACCCGACCCCAAAACCCCACCACCTCCGATTAGATCTTTGACTCCGCCGTGATGGTGATGGCCGTCGGATGGAGGATGGTAATAAAGACGAGCCGTCTGAGGACAGTGTGAATGAAACCTCGCCGCGATTCTCACGCCGGCGTCCAACATCTCCGTGTATTTCCCCATTTCCTTGAAGAATCTATTGTTCCTAATTCTTCTTTCTATTTGTTATTTCTGCTCTTTCTCGTGAAGAGAGAGAGAGAGGACGGAGACGATGAGAAAGGTTTTACAAGTCGCGTTTAATTTATAGGAGGCAGGAAAAAAGCGAACGAGTCTCCGCTTTCTTCTTTTTGAGGGTTTTTTTTTTATTTTTTTATTTAATTGCTTTTCTTGCACTTTTCCCTTGGCTCCCATATTTTTTATTTTATTTCTATTTGCCCCTTTCTTTGGTTTTTTCTTAAAATCTCTCTGTAATCTTACCATTCCATAAGTGATTAGTAGTTTATTGTTTCCATGACCTATAATATAAGATATAGAATAATATTTCCAGATAAAGACTGATTAGGGTATAGGATTGCAATTTATTAAAAAGTATTAGGACTGAAATTCTATTCATAAAAATATAGGGTCGAAATTAGGGGAAACTGAAAAACTTATTCTGAGCTGTAAATTAACGTTTTTTTAGTACAAGGAAGGAATCTGTTTAGCGTTTCTTGTCAGTTTCCTTTTCCTTTTTTTTTTAATTAACAAATTTATTTCACGTTCCTTTTTTCTTATTTGTGATAATTAATTAGAAAATTAATGAATCCGCGTGAGTGTGGGTCGTCACTATACCAACCAAACAGTCGCCGCGTATTTTTGACTGCGGCAATACCGTGAAAGTCGCTTGAAAAGTAAGCGTTTACTTTAAGCATAATTTCTCGATGGATGGACATTTTTCATCGACTTTTCTGGACTCAAATTGCGCTCTAATTGACCTTTGGACTTAACACTTTTCGACTTTTAATTGTAACGTATGTTTTTTTCCGTTAGAATTTAATTTTTGAATCTCTTTTTTTCTTACATCTAATATTTCAAACTTAATTAACATAACATGACACGTACCATTATGAACTTACAAATGTCACAAGTGATTTATGTAGGTCAGCTAGCTTTTAAGTTTTAGATCACTTTTTAGTCTAAAATCTTAGATCACTTTTTTAATCTAAAATTTTGGACTAATATATTTAATATCCTTATCATAAAACTAAGACCTACTTTAAAATTTACTATGCTTAGATAATATATCCAAAAAAACTTAGATTAAACAGTTGTTAAAAAAAAAAAACTTTGATTAAACTACATGTTCGCAGAATTTTAAATGAAATATATAACTAAAGTAATTTGATTCCCTAATTAGTGATTTAAAATTGTAAATTTTAAAATAAATCAAGACTGATTTAGTCTTTGTAAGATAAACATAAGACATGTAGTAACTGTAAGCAATACATCACGAACCGAAAATTCGTAGAAGATAATCCAATGAAATTTGATTATTTTGCTCTGTTTCTTTCAATATATTGATTAATCCGAAATTAATGAGTATTCATTATATTTCTCTATCCCATTAGTATGATTTAAAATATATTTTGCAAAATCACATTTATTAGATTAGTAAAGTGGTAGTAAGTCATCAACCAATAGTGTGTTTAACAGCTCACAAGGAATCAACCAATAGGCCGAGGTTCACACAAGCAGACAAGCATGATATCTTATTAACTAACATCGGTTTCTATATTTTATATGGTTACTTCAGTTATTTATCTGTTTAACAGAGCCACTTCTTATAAAGCGAGCGTTTTAGACCATATATATCTAGCTATATATATAACTCCCGTAATCCCGTTATAGTTTTCATTGTCCTAGCCCAAATCAGGATCAAACCAAACTGTATATAACTAGATAGTGGGGAAGGGGATATAAGTATTACCTGCCTCCAGCATTAATGTCTTAATCTTTCATGCAATCTACAGAAAATTAAGGAGGCAAAAAGATCAATTTAAGGTACTTATTGCTAGAATATATACCACAATGAAGGATGTGAAAGTTTAAGTTTCATACCTTGTAAATAAAGGGATCAAGTCTTCCTCCTGTGCCAAACCTCTTCACTTCCTCCATCTTCAACAACCTGCATCTGGACTTGATCAGCACTACAAGTCTACAACTATCTCCCATGCCCTTAAACCAAGCATGCACAAGAGGCTTGAAGATGTATTGCTAAGAAAAGAAATGTGTATTTGTTGTGTGAATGAGAAGAAGAATATACATTCTGAGAGCTTTGCTGGTATCGGGACTGTCGCCAAGAATCTGACGGATATGAACTTCGGAAGAAGATTCAGAGGAAAGAAACTCCAAGATGTCTTTGGCTCTACGGCGAATAGAACTCGACCTGCTACTTTCTTTCATCTTCTTCCCTACTCCTCTTAGCTTCTCATTGCTTTTCTGATTCCTGACTTTGATTCTGCTTTCTACGCTAGAAACCTCGCTTGAACCAGTTGACAAGCATGACTCATCTTTGGATTCAACAGAGCATGTTGAGAGAACATCACACGCAGGATTCATCATCAAATGTGTTGGCTTAAAATTGAAGGATCCCCAAATGACCTGAGATCGGCGTTTTCTCGCTGTCTGCATAAATCAGTCAATGAAAATCAATACTCACACCGTACTCAAAGTTTGTTCTCTAAAATATATGTTTCTTACTAAAATCAGAGCATAACAAAGCAAACGAGTCGACATGAAATTCGAAATTTCAAATTCCAGAAATGATCCGTTTCTGGTAAACTAATCACTAAATCCAGAATCGTAAAAACAAAATTGGTACATCTAAGAGAGAGCGATTATCATTCAGGTTGATGAACGAAATAGTAACTTCCAAAATCTAGCTCAAACGGAAGAAATCAACAAATAGAAGCTACTAGTCAATCAAATTTCTCAGAATTTCGAATTACTTAAGAACCAATTCAGATCTAGAGAACAACCAAACGAATACTCTGAAACAGAGACGTGAAGAAGAAGAGTTTCGCACCTTGAAATTCATGAGATGAAACGGATCTCCAGTATAATTGATTTTGAATCCGCGATCCTCGCTCATCCCAAACGAACCATCGCTGGACAAAGCCGAGCCACAAGATCTCGATCCGCTAGATCCCAACATCAAGCTCAGGTTCGAGCTACCTTCGTCACACCACTTCCTCACATAGCTCGATTCCTCTACAGATTCCGACCTAATAATCACCCAAGACGATAATATTAACCAAACGAGGAAAAACGAGGAAGATAACACAGATCTGAAACCGCGAGCCTCACAATCAAAACAGAAATTGAAACGAGATTGGGTTATGCGAACCTTGTGGGTGAGAAGACCACAGGTCCATAGGAAAGGAGAAGAAGAGACGAAGCCACTGATCTCTCAATCGCAGAAGGATGCTTCGCCATCTCTGAGTTATTCTTCCGAGTGAAGCTTTTCTCTGAGCTTCTGCTAATGGCGCGATGATCTGATTTTGTTTTGTTTTTGAATTCCTCTTTCTCTCTCTAACTTTCACTAGTCACTACTACAATTCATGCGCACGCACACACACACACACACTGTTATATTGCAGCGAATAGTGTGAAATAATAATTGATGAGCCCATATATTAGGCCCATTAAAGGCCTTCTGGCCCATATACATCCTCTATCTCCTTCATCGTCTTCCTCGCCTCGTCTACGCATTACTGATACAGTACATCAGAAATCTTCACGAAACTCGAATTTTATATAGTTAATAAAATATATAACGATATTTTCGGAGAAATATCTTCATGTCATGTCCTCTTGCCTTCACCTTCTCTCTCCCGTTTCCTTCTCAACCGCTTCCATTTTCCCGCCAGAAACATCCTTACCTTCTTCGTGCCACACCAACCTCTGTAACCGACGATGTTGCCTCCACCGTTTATGGCGCACCTTCGAAATTTATCTCTCAATCACACTCTCCGGAGTGGTGGATTGACTTGCTCCGGTCCAAAGTTCGATCTAATTTGCTCCGTGAAGCCGTCTTGACTTACATTGACATGATTGTTTTGGGTATAAAACCCGATAATTTTGCGTTCCCTGCTTTGCTAAAGGCTGTCGCTGATCTTCAGGACATGGATTTGGGGAAACAGATTCATGCCCATGTGTATAAATTTGGGTATGGAGTGGATTCCGTGACTGTAGCTAATACCCTAGTGAATTTGTATAGAAAGTGTGGAGATTTCGGGGCTGTGTATAAGGTGTTCGATAGAATATCTGAGAGAAACCAAGTCTCTTGGAATTCTTTGATTTCTTCTTTGTGTAGTTTTGAGAAGTGGGAAATGGCGTTAGAAGCATTTCGGTGTATGTTGGATGAAGATGTGGAGCCTAGTTCGTTTACCTTGGTGAGTGTGGCTCTTGCTTGCTCGAATTTTCCTATGCCCGAGGGATTATTGATGGGTAAGCAGGTTCACGCCTATGGTTTGAGAAAGGGTGAATTGAATTCGTTTATTATCAACACACTGGTGGCTATGTATGGTAAAATGGGAAAATTAGCATCTTCCAAAGTCTTGCTTGGATCTTTTGAAGGCCGTGACTTGGTCACATGGAACACTGTGTTGAGCTCATTATGTCAGAACGAGCAGTTTCTTGAAGCATTGGAGTATTTGCGGGAAATGGTGCTTGAAGGTGTTGAACCAGATGGCTTCACTATTTCAAGTGTTCTTCCTGCTTGTTCACACTTGGAGATGCTTCGCACAGGGAAAGAATTGCATGCCTATGCTTTGAAAAATGGCTCTTTGGATGAGAATTCTTTTGTTGGCAGTGCTTTGGTTGACATGTATTGCAATTGCAAGCAAGTCTTGAGTGGTTGTCGAGTATTTGATGGAATGTTTGATAGAAAGATTGGTCTATGGAATGCTATGATCACTGGTTATGCCCAGAACGAGTATGACGAGGAAGCGTTGTTGCTGTTTATTGAAATGGAAGAAAGTGCTGGGCTTCTGGCTAACTCAACCACAATGGCAGGTGTTGTTCCTGCTTGTGTTCGTTCTGGTGCGTTCTCCAAAAAGGAAGCTATCCATGGATTTGTTGTAAAAAGAGGTTTAGATAGAGACAGGTTTGTGCAGAATGCACTGATGGATATGTATTCTAGGCTGGGAAAGATCGATATCGCCAAGCGGATATTCGGTAAAATGGAAGATAGAGATTTAGTAACATGGAACACAATTATTACGGGTTATGTATTCTCAGAACGCCATGAGGACGCGCTTCTTATGCTACACAAGATGCAAATCCTCGAAAGGAAAGCAAGCGAGCGAGCTAGCCGAGTTAGTCTGAAACCTAATTCCATCACTCTGATGACAATCCTCCCCAGTTGTGCTGCACTATCAGCATTAGCAAAAGGAAAAGAAATCCATGCTTATGCCATCAAGAACAATTTGGCAACTGATGTGGCTGTGGGAAGCGCTTTAGTTGACATGTACGCAAAATGTGGGTGCCTACAGATGTCGAGAAAAGTTTTTGATCAGATTCCTATCAGAAATGTTATAACCTGGAATGTGATTGTAATGGCTTATGGGATGCACGGGAACAGCCAAGACGCCATAGATATGCTAAGAATGATGATGGTTCAGGGAGTAAAACCAAACGAGGTTACATTCATTTCAGTATTTGCAGCTTGTAGCCACTCAGGCATGGTGAATGAAGGATTAAAGATTTTCTACAATATGAAGAAGGACTACGGTGTTGAGCCTAGCTCAGATCATTATGCTTGTGTTGTAGATTTGCTAGGAAGGGCAGGTAGAGTCAAAGAAGCTTATCAACTCATCAACCTGATTCCTCGAAATTTCGACAAAGCTGGAGCTTGGAGTAGCCTCCTTGGTGCTTGTCGGATTCACAATAACCTAGAAATTGGAGAAATTGCTGCTCAGAACCTCATTCAATTGGAACCAAATGTAGCTAGTCACTATGTACTACTTGCCAATATATATTCATCAGCAGGCCTCTGGTATAAAGCAACAGAGGTAAGGAGAAATATGAAAGCGCAAGGCGTGAGAAAAGAACCTGGATGTAGCTGGATTGAGCATGGCGATGAAGTACATAAATTCGTAGCCGGTGACTCATCTCACCCGCAAAGCGAAAAGCTCCGTGGATATCTAGAGACCTTGTGGGAGAGAATGAGAAAAGAAGGATATATACCTGACACATCTTGTGTGCTTCACAATGTAGAAGAAGATGAAAAGGAGATTCTGCTTTGTGGACACAGTGAGAAGCTAGCAATTGCGTTTGGGATACTTAACACATCGCCAGGTACAATTATTAGGGTGGCTAAAAACCTCAGGGTTTGTAATGACTGTCATCTTGCAACAAAGTTTATCTCAAAGGTTGTTGACAGAGAAATCATCTTGAGAGATGTTAGGAGGTTCCATCATTTCAAGAATGGAACTTGCTCCTGTGGAGACTATTGGTGAAAGACAAGCTGCATAAAATGGTCTCTCTTTCTTCATTGTATAAAATATACGGTTGAGCAATAAAATGCTGAACTTATTCACTGAGAAAGCATAATCACCTATAGATTCTCTCTCTTTTAGTAACAAAACGTACAACTCTGGCCAACAAAAATTATTATTACTATTAAATGTAATTATTAAAGAGATAATTGGGTGAGAGACATAGGATCGGGGTGAAATAAAATTTTCGGTATAATCTTGTCGGGCCTAAAACATTGTAAATATTTAGCCCACTTTTTAGCCTCTTATACCCTCACGCGCTCCTTCATGGTCGTCCAAAACTTAGCCCAATACTTGAGACATTGGAACTGATTTTGCAGTTCTCGAGGCCATAAAGGGTGGCGTCTGACGCTACGTTTCTAGTTCATCCTCTCTCTTCTTCTCATCCCGCCATTTCACTCAGAAAACCCTAAAACTCTCTCTCTCTCTTCAGTTCCCAGTCTACTGATTCTTTCCTCTGTCGCTTCCGGAGACGACGGTGTGACACTGTTCAAGCCTTGGCGGTGCCGTTTAGACGATTTGTACGGTGAGCAAACGCATATTGCTTTGCCGTTGTTTTTTTCCCCGGCGCAGCCGGCACCATTTAATCCATCAGAAAAACTTGTTTTCGTTTCGATTTTTGAAAGAATCTTTATCCGTTTCGTTTGACATGCTCTGTTCGGCGACAAAAAAATTTCCCCAATTGATTAACGGGTTTTCTTTCTCGTCTTCATACATGGCGTCATAATCGTTCCCTCCTACTATGCATATAGTCTGTAATCTTTCATCTGTTTTTTAGATCTGTAAAAATTCTTATATTCCTGTTTAATCCTCCATATTTTCCTATAGATCTATATGTTTTATCCATGGATATACATGGGCATTCACATTCTTTCATAGATCTGTATTGCATGTTTATATATGTCCATAATTTCTACCTATATGTCATAGATCCGTTTCTAAAACATGCATGTTTGTTTATTTTCTTAGTAGATCTCTAATTTACTCTGTTTTATTTCTTAAATCTCTGCAGGAACATGGCAAATGTCGATTTGCCTTCTCGGCTATTCGCGGACAGGGAAGAACCTGCGGGTGATCGGGTGAACATGTACTTCAAGTTGAACACAATTAAGGCGGTGCTTAAGGCGTTGACGCCGGAAGAACTTGACACCATTCGTCCGTGTTTTGGGAAGCTGCTTGATATCTACTCGAAGCCTGTTTTCTCTGGTAAATTGGCGCACTTTCTCCTCACCCGCCAGCTGAATGTTGTCAAACGACATGAAATATGGGTCATTTTCGCCGGGAAGCCGATAAGATTCTCTCTGAGGGAATTCGGGTTGGTTACTGGTCTCAACTGCAGCCCTCTACCGCCTCTGGACCGGTCTCTCCTCAAATCTCCTCCTGGTGTTACCCCGTACTGGTTTACTCTCTTTGGTGGTGAGGAGTATTTCACCGGCGAGATGTTACTTGCGAAGCTGCGAAGACCGAAAGCCTTGTCCCCTGAGTTGCGTGTCAAATATGCATGTTTGCTCCTTGTTGATGGTTTCTTGTCCAGGCGGTCCTACCACATGAAGATCCCCAAGCCTCACGTTGAGATGATTCGCGATTTGGATGCTTTTCTAGCATATCCCTGGGGCCGCTACAGTTTTGACCTGACCATGCGCTGCATCAAGTCGCGATCTTTAGACCAGCTTGCACAGGCTACTGTCGCCATTCAAGGATTTATTCACGCACTAGTTCTTGTGTTTGTCGAAGCTGTCCCCGGTGTGCTCTCTGCTGTTGGTGCTGGCACTGACCCCGAGTCTGGTGATGAAGATCCTTTCCCTGTCATAGCAATGAAACTTGAACCGGTCTGGGACTTGGATGGAGTTGACGAGGTATGTGATGGTTTACGTTTAATTATAGCACTTCATTTTAAATAATGAATAGCTAACAAATTTATGTGCACATATGGACTAGGTTGAGGTTTTGTCTGTACTTCCCGATTGTGAAAATGTTGTTGGTATAGAAGACTGTAGCTGGCCGGATGAAGT